AGTTCTATAAATCCCGCTTGCACACGTCCCCTCCCTCGCAAATTTTCTTGACCTCGCATTCCCGCCATAATGCTGCTCAAGTTTTCAAAATCAGACATACTAAATTCATCTCTTGTATACCCCGAGACTGGCGCACCCACTTATACTATTCTCACTCGATCGCATTTTATTCGGCCAGGAGATAAGGATTCGGACACAGAGAGCGAGGATGAGGCTGCCGAAACTCGTAGGACAATCATATTCAACAAGGGCGGTGTCAGTGTGGCAGAGATTGGGTGGGAGGGGCGGCGACCCATAGAGATCACCATTGGACAAGAAAAAGTCAGCATCAAGGGGATATTTGGCTGTCAGAGTGCTATTTTATCGTGCGCCGCGTCTTCACTCTGCTTGTTGGTCTGAATTCGAACCTCTTCCGCTCAGTTACAACGTCCTCGGGATACCCGCACGCTTTGACACTGAATTTTTCTGGATGGCCGGGCCAGATGGACTTACGGTGGGTGAAACTTGCCCTTGTCTAGTGCCGCACGTCTGACGACTTCATAGCTCTTGGACTATGACTCTAACCAAATCAAGGGACAATTCCATGTCAACAGTCTCCGCGTTGGTGAACGTTTCATTACAACACCAATATCAGGCTTAGGCCACGACTATCTTGAATTCGAGCCGCATCCGCTAGCATCAAGAGAAGAGCTCATAGGTACTTTGTTCCATAGTCCTGATCGCTCGCCAGCCCTTGTTCACTGCGCCTACAGTTACTTTCATACTGATGGAGATACTCCGTCGGGGGCGATTCAATCAACATTCAGACACCTTCGATCGACCTAAACTTTGGAGAAGTAGATCCTTGGCAAACCTCAGCAAACGATTACGACGCGGTACGATATAATGAAGCTGTCTTATCTGGAAAGGATTTGGCATATATATGCATGTAGATGATGGTCAATCTTTTGCCGCTGTGTTTTCTTTTTCTCCGTTTCTGTACTTGTAACGATCACTAAGTTCTAACCTTGCTTTCGTCGCTCTTTTTATCTGTAGTTATATACATGAAGCAACCTGATTGTCTCTGACCCATGCATCGCTCTTCTGTGGTCCACTTGTGCAGTCCCAAAGGACGACAAAAAATCTGGTGACGTTTTGATTTAATGCACAATCTGAGAGGGGCCTTACCAAAAGCGATATTCCCTTTGTCTCGCTCCAGAGACGGGGTGAAAGGGATGGTCAAACTTGGATTGCTCCAATATATTTCTGTCTTGACGTGATTTTAGAAAGGTGTCAAGCGGATGTCATGTTGTCGATAGTGACGCCCCGACACCAACAGTATGTGACCAACAGTGCACGCTGCTCCAGTGCTCCCTGCACCTATCTTCTCAGCAGGTCACCAGCAAGCACAAGGTGGCACGACCTCATCTGCTTACCTTTTAGAACGTCGGTATCTACTCACGTCCTGCAGTCGCTATGCCTACATACGCTGAAAATGTATACTTGGCTCGCAGTAATTTTACTGGTAAATATTGTCGACCTTGTACATCTTGCTGCTCGACACGGGTGACACCCCGTCCTCCCCGTATACTTTCTCAACCTTGTACATCTTCGACGTAGACTGGGGCTCAACTCCTGACGGTGCAGGTGTGGCAGCAACAGCACCTTCGACAGCCACAGCATCCTTGCCTGCCTTGCTCGCTAAACCTGCAGCGCGCCCATCCGGAATTTTAATGAACTCCAGTTTCCCGTCCTCCGCGGTCCCATCAAATATGAAGTATCCTTTCCTCTCAAATTGGATTATTTCTCCCTTTTTGAGCGTCTTCACATTTGCATCTGCCAGCGCCTCTTCGCGGAACTCGGTCACAGATGGGACGAAGTCTTTCACGTCGTCCTCTTCCTCAAGCTTCTTCTTTGTGATGAGGTAGTCATAATCCAGGAGGGTGACGTCGGCCATTGGATAGGTGTCTGTGGGTTGGGCGAGCCAGGTGATCTTCTTCTTGGTCTTGCGGAAGTCGCCATCGAGGTTGAGGCTCATGGTGAGCGAGGTCACTTCACCGTTGGGCCCAACCGTCTTTGAGCGCACGAAGGCGTTGCCCCAGTCCATGAGGGTGATCTGGCAGAGTCGTATGGTTCCGACCATGAATCATGAAGTTGAGATCAGCCTACCTCCTCCTGATCCTCGAATAAAGCAGCATCCTCTTGCTCAACCAAAATTGTAGACGAGTAGACCGTTTGCTTCTCGCCGACTTCTGGGTTCTTCTTGTGGCGAGGGAGCGTCTTCACTTCGGGCTTGACAGGGCCATCTGTGATCGTGACAGGTACACTGTGAAAATTCAGCAATTAGCATTTCAACATTCGTCCATGCAAAACGAGTGCAGCGGCTTACTATTTCTCCCTGACCACGGCCCAGAACCGAGGGGCGATTGGATCGATTACCTTTTTGTTGAGAGCCCAGATTGAGTCCCACTCGAGAGAGACGAGGGATTGCGAGGGGCCTTGGGAAAGCATAAATTGGGTGAGAGCCTCCACCGTCATGCCACGGCGACGAATGCCTGCCTACAGTATCAGCACTGATCGAAGCATCAATACTATCGCGCTGACCTCGAACGGTAGGAAATCGCGGATCATCCCACCCTTTGACAATTTTGTTATCAACGAACCAGTGTAATTTACGTTTGGATAACAAGGTATATATGAAATTCAGCCGACTTTCGCAAAAGTGATTAGTATAAACTAACAGAGGATTTGGAGACAACTGCCAACCTGAAGTCCCATATATGGACAGGGCGCACACCCAATGCCTCAATCATCCAGAAATATTGCGCGTTTCGTTCGCGATACTCCATGGTCCTCAGTGCGTGGGTAACTCCCTCGAGCGAATCAACGATGGGGCAGGCGAAGTCATAAGTAGGGTATATCTTCCACTTCTCACTGTGAATTCAGAGCAAATGAATGAGCACATGCGCTAGTGATAGACAGTATGGCTCACCCTGTGCGGTGGTGAGGAATGACGTTGCAGCGGTAGATGACGGGGTCCCGAAGAGTTTTGTTCTGGTCATCCACGCTGATCTTTGCACGGAGACACCATCGGAGACCCTCCACTGTACCAACTTTCATTTCCGCAAAATGCTTTAAATTGTTCTCGACCGAGTCATCCCGATGTACAGAGGCAATTCCCTTTCCACGCTCCTCGCGCATCTACCGGAGATGTTAGCAGCGTTAAGACAGAGCACATGAATATCATACCTGAGCTTGTTCAGTGTCGTCGGTGTACGCCTTGCCTGTTTCGATCATCTTGATTGCAAGGTTGTAGATCTGGTCGAAATAATCCGAAGTGTGGCTGATGGTGTCACCTTTGATCCCCATCAAATTTAAATCCTCTAAAATCGTCTCTTCAAACTCGGTCTAGAGCGGCCCGTCAATATTAGATCACGGTCTGATCTGACAGATGAACAAACGCACTCTCTCTCTGGTCGGATTCGTGTCATCGAAGCGGATGATCATCTTTCCTTTGTACATTTTTGCGAAGTACTGGTTCAGCACTGCAGCTTTAGCGTGGCCAATGTGCAAATACCCGCTGGGCTCGGGAGGAAAGCGTGTGACGACCTCGCCTTCTTTCGCATTCTGAAGACCCAGCGAAAAACTGGCAGCAGTCTTTGTATTCCGGGCTTTGTTCGCCTTGGCCGTCACGATGCTAGAGAGAGCAGCTTGAGTCGATTCAAGGCTTTCCAGGTGTGAGAACCATCGCAGGGCGTGGACGTGTTGTCCGTTTTTAAGCAGACCAAGCGTTTTGACGGAAGCTGATGAAATAGCCACTTAAATATTTTTTACAACACAGATGGGGACAACGTACCTCTGATAGTTCCCCAGAGCATCCAGTCTGCTGCGGTGATGTCGTGACCGACAAGGAATGTACGGTACACGAGGTGATTGTCTAGTGAGTCAAGAGCGGTGAGGATGTCAGGAACAGCCGTAATAGTCGGGAGTGTCTTTGCTAATGCGAAGTATGTTGCTGCCTAGGACTAGAATCAGGCTCGAGACTATGAAGCGAAATTTGATGCGGCCGACATTTGTGCTATCCCCGTCTAGGCCACCTAGCTCAGCCAGAACCTTTACTATCTCTTCTTCGGTAGTATACTGAGCTCCATCTAGATCAAGTGATGCACCTATAGCAGTCTCGTGAAAGTTGAACTCGACTTTTTGAATGTAGGACGCGACTGCAAGGGCAGCGAAAGGAAAAGGAGACGTCTTGGTCGACAATGTTAGAGACATGGTTGAACGCTGAACGCGAGTCAAGTTTGAAGGATCTCAATCAGGTGCGGATGTGATCATCTAGGATCGCGAGCTGGCGAACTGACTTGATCTATTACGCTGTGTGCCTGGCATATCCCTATATGTCTCATATCCAAAATCATCGATTTCGGGGGGTTATGTCCGCACTTTCTGGTGGGTGTTCCGTCGGCATCTGTACTTAGACATCGGTTCATCCGTCCGCAAAAAAAAATGGATGTTTTGCCAGTTCTGCGAAGTACATGTCCGTCCGCACACTGGGATGCAAGATTGATTTGCGTGCAACTTGTCAGTACACTAGTTACAGTTCCCAGATCTGTCCGCACACCAGGATACAAGGTTGGTTTGCATGTACATGTACGAGGTAACATGTTAATCATTCCCTCACGGTGACTGAGGTCACGGCAACAATATCACTACGACAACTACGACACCAATAATTAGACCAGATCTGATGTCTCTGACTCGTCTGACACCATATCCGGAATCACCTTTGGTGATTGACTTATCCGTGTATGACAAGGATTAGGTACACCGTGCTATGCACGTATTTAATTAATTTTTAAAAGTAGTTAATTAATATAATATAATAATATTTAATATATGTTATTTTATAAGAATAGTAAATTTTATTTTTGAATCAAGTTTACAGATGGTTCTGTAGTAAACCTGCAAAGTTTAATAATTCAAGGTTCAATTCCTTCTTAACTCTATAATTTTAATACTAAGTTGTCTTAGTTCAATGGTTAGAACAACAACATTCTTCTAAAGTGTCAATTTTGGTTTGAATCCGAAAGGGAATATAAAAAAATTACTCGGATAACCCAAATGGGGATGTACCAGCATTGGCTGAGATGACTCCTATCAACATTTCATCCTTTACTTCATTCTCCTTCTCATCCCTGCTCACTCATTGTGTCGTCATCTCCCTACATTGACCTATGCATGCACGCACTCAGCCTTGGTTCCTGCTATTGTCATGCATCGCCGTTCCTAATGTCCTCACATAATACCTGTATTCCAAGTCTCTCAGACCCTTGCAACAACATTTCCTGTGTCAACATGCTCCTGCCCTTGTGTCTCAATCAAGCCACTCCCTAAATGCTGCTTCCCTACACTGCATCACACGTGGCTGAACACATGTAGGAAACATGTTTAAAAGTAAGTAGTTTTGTTGGAAGAGCACTTTTCTACTAACACTCATCAACTTGCTATGTCCTCTAAACAATCAGGTCAAACAGGAAGCCATCTCATCAACAAGTCATTGGGTGTTGACATGGAAGACACACCTATACTTCCATCAAGAAGTAGCAGGCTCATCCTTCATGGACAGCCACTCAGCCACCAGCAGTTGTTGTGAAGCATCGACACTGCCTTGCTGCTGTGAGGGTCTGTTCCCCAGAGCAGCAGCATGATCCAGCCTCCGTCTCCTCCATTTGAGTCCAGTACACTCTTCTTTGACAGCCAGGAACCTTGCGAGCTACCCTTGCTACTGTCAAATCCGGGTTCAATCCCAGAATTCCCGGATAGTCTGGAGTGCATGGAACAGCGGAGTCGGTTGGGAATCCCTGAGGGGGGTTGGAGGGGCAAGGAACTTTGGCTTCAGCTTATGTGCTGTGCCCCTGTATGAGTTCTGTTCCTTAATTTCAGAGCAGAGGGTCGGAAGACAATCCTAAGGTCAACTTAAGGACTGAAGTGGGTTTCAGAGTGAAGTGGAAATTTCGCAGGAGAGAATGGGATTTAGTTGATATTTGAACTGAGGAAATATCGGAGAGTACATGTGGGTTTATATACTGAAGAGTCCAGAAGATATAAAACTGTTAAAGTATGTCGGACGAATTGGGGTTTTGGGTTTCTGGAACAAAGTAAGGGATGAATTGAAATGGTGTCAGAATGGTGGAATAATAACTGAGGGCAATGGCGCAATAATTGTGAAGCAGGGGGAGAGGGAATTATCAATAGGAACTGCAGATGTCAAGAAATGTCAAAGGAAAGAGACATATGTCAAGAGATAGCCGAGATAGGAGTATGAAAGTCCGGGATGGGAAATATGGGGTTTGGAATATCTGATGAAGGAGAAATCTTCTAAGGTAAAGTCTGAGGCTCGGGATTCGGGATTTGATCATAGGGGGCCAGAATTGGGCCGGATGGGTTAGGAAAGCTTCGGGATGTGACAGTTACACAAAATGGCTGCATCACAGGTACTGAGCACCAAGGCTCTTGATGTAGTGGTGGAATACTGATATGTCCTTGTGGGCATCAGGACAGCCTTACGGCTTGATCCTTACCTCTGGGTCTTGCAGGATTGGGATACAACAGAGGAGACTCTTAGTGTAAAGAATTAATTGCTACTGCTGTGAGTGGAACTAACTCTTTTGAAGGTTGGATCCTACTGCCATGTAACACTGCTGCCGCACAGTAACTATGACTATGGTATTACCTGCACGTGCCCCAAGTGGAAGGCTGTGATGTCCTGCCTCCACCAAGATGTCTTCTGAGCTCATACCAGTGAGCTATAAGCTTTGTCTCAGGTTGCCCCCTCTCTGACGGCACCTGCTGTGTTAGTTCATGCTACACCTTTCAATGATAGGAACATATTCTCATGCTTGTCATTGGTGGGTCGCCATGAATCAGGCAAGCATATCATCGTCTCTATGCAGTGAGATGGTTGCTGGCACTGTGAACCCTGTTGTTACTATGATGCTTGTAAACACAAGTCCCATGCCATCACCTTTGCAACTGAAGTGTCAAGTCCGGGTTCAATCCCGGAATTCCTGGATAGTCCGGAGTGCGTGGAAGGGCAGAGTTGGGCGGGAATCCCTGAGGGGGGTCGAAGGTGTAAGGAACTTTGGCTTCAGCTTATGTGCTGTGCCTCTGTACAAGTTCTGTTCCTTGATTTCAGGGCAGAGGGTTGGAGATCAATCCTAAGGTCAACTTAAGGACTGAGGGGGTTCAGAGTGAAGCGGATCAGGAGAGAACAGAATTTAGTTGATATTCAAACTAAGGAAATATCAGAGAGTACAAGCGGGTTTATATACTGAAGAGTCTGAAAGATATAAAGGTGTTAAAGTATGTTGGACAAAACGGAGTTTTGGGTTTCCGGAAGAAAGTAAGGAATGAATCGGAATGGCGTCAGAATGGTGGAATAATGACTGAGGGCAATGGCGCAATAATTGCAAGGCAAGGGGAAAAGGAATTATCAATAGGAACTGTAAATGTCAAGAAGTGTCAAAGGAAAGTGACATATGTCAAGAGATAGCCGAGATAGGAATATGAAATCCAGGACAGGAATGCAAAAGTCTGGGATGGGAATGTGGAAAGTCTGGGATGGGAATGTGGAAAGTCTGGGATGGGAAGTATGGGGTTCGGAATGTCTGATGAAAGAGAAATCTTCTAAGGTAAAGTCTGAGGCTCGGGATTTGATCATAGGGGGCCGGAATTGAGCCGGATGGGTTAGGGAAGTTTTGGGATGTGACATGAAGCTAGCCTCATTGCTAACACGACAGGGACAAGTTCTAGCAATGATGAGCTGGACGACGATGAGAATTTCCTGTTGATCAGAGCTGCCAGTTGTGATGGTGGGCTAGGAGAATGACAATTAATATTGTATCTTCCCATTCCCCCTCAATGATGGTGCTTGCTTTTGTATGAGCCATCTTGACACTCACCTCACATGAGTTGTAACCTCAGCCACTTTCTCCTTGATGAGACTTCAAGATGTTCGTGTGGCCTAACATCAGGAAAAGGAATGGCCATATATAGGATTATCCTTTATAAATACCCTACAATTAACATCAGAATGATACACACCTAGCTCATGTCAGATAATCCAGGACTGGGATGAGAGCATAGATCAAAACCTATCAGTCATATTGTACAGTTAATATAAATCTATACAATTGGTGTAGATTATCAATATCTGCAGTGTCATGAGGAGCACTCTGATTGTGTTTGCATGCATGATCAGTTTCAAAAGGGTTGCAAAAATTATTCAGCACTATCTTCTTTACCAGGGAATATCTTTTGTTCTTTATTTTTTATATAAAAGAAATTATTATAGATCACTTAACATCACTTCATATATATCCTTGTGTAAAACATAAGATACAGTGACTCCATAAACCATTGCAATGTTTGGCCTAAATGTGATGTGCAAGGCATATCACAAAAGGGCATGAGAATCTTCCTTAGCTCTGGTGACATGCATTCACTGCGGAAATGAGATTTTAGCCAGACACAAATTGTACTAGGCCAATTGATAGAACTGTAGCCAAAACATACCAGCATGTTTATCTGTACTGAAACCAGAGGAGTCACTACGTGAGAACAAAATCAGCCTTAATCTGACCCATATCCGCAGGCCAGATAGCATTCATGACCCACAACTGTACTGCTTGTGTTATGATGGCTATCCACCCACAAACTAGACCCCAAGTCCCATGGCATTACTATCCATACCTCCAGATTTCAGACCACTTTTTTTTTTTTTTCAGCAAGTACCCATTGGAAGCGGCTCAAATGCCATCATCTGTCACATCCTGAAACTTTCCCAACCCATCCAACACACTTCTGGCCCCTTATGATCAAATCCTGAACCCCGAGCCCCAGACTTTGCCTTAAAAGATTTTCTCCATCATCTGATATTCCAAATCCTGTATTTCCTGTCCTGGACTTTTGTACTCCTATCTCGGCTATCTCTTGACATATGGTCCTTTCCTTTGACATTTCTTGACATTTACAGTTCCTATCAATACTTCCCTTTCCCCCTGCTTCACAATTATTATGCCATTGTCCTCAGTTATTATTCCATCATTCTGACACCATTCTGATTCTTCCTCTTTGCTCTGGAAACCCAAAACCCCGATTTGCTCAATATACTTTAACAGTTTTATATCTTCCAGACTCCTCAGTATATAAACCCGACTTTACTCTGTAATATTTCCTTAGTTTGAATATTAACTACATCCTCTTCTATCCTCCAAAGTCTCTGCTTCACTCTGCCACCTCTTTCAGTCCTTGAGTTGATCTTAGGATTGTCCTCCAAACTTCTGCCTTGAAATTAAGGGACAGAACTCATACAGGGGTGCAGCACATAAGCTGAAGCCAAAGTCCCTTGCCCCTCCAACCCCCCTCAGGGATTCCTGACTCCCTTCGCCTTTCTGCATGCTCCAGACTTGACATCATTGCAACATATCCGTACCAAAAAATGTCAGGGTCATAGGTAGATTAATCTTTCTTTTGTATATTCAGCACACTCATTAATTGGTTTCAGATCCTAACAATCTGAGCGCTACAGAATCAGAGAGTGCACTGTTGTCACATCCCGAAACTTCCCTAACCCATCCGGCCCAATTCCGACCCCCTATGATCAAATCATGAATTCCAAGCCTCGGACTTTACCTTAGAAGATTTCTCTTTCATCAGACATTCCGAACCCCATATTTCCTGTCCTGGACTTCCACATTCCCATCCTGGACTTTCCGCATTCCCATCCCGGACTTTTGTATTCCTATCTCGGCTATCTCTTGACATATGTCACTTTCCTTTGACACTTCTTGAGATTTACAGTTCCTATTGATAATTCCCTTTCCCCTTGCCTCGCAATTATCGCGCCATTGCCTTCAGTCATTATTATTATTCCACTGTTCTGATGCCATTCCGATTCATTCCTTACTTCCTTCCAGAAACCCGAAACTCCGATTCGTCTGACCTACTATAACATCAACATCTTTATATCTTCCGGACTCTTCAGTATATAAACCTGCTTGTACTCTCCTATATTTATATTTCCTTAGTTTGAATA